AACAGAAGCGCATTCAAGCTGGCGACAATAGAAACACTTACCGTAACACCATTATGTAAAGTCCATGTAAAGTGTAGAAGTGAAACGGCACAATGGTGTGAAACAACATTGCTGTGAAAGAAGGGGGAGCAGGTCATTGCGTGACGTACGACCCGAGGAGAGCATTCCAAAATTCAATAACGAGTTGAATTTTTAACTAATGATGTTGTTACACTGATTTTTTTCCGTGGCTAATTTGTACGCCGTCCCGTAACACGCGTACCATGCCGGTTACGGAGACTTGCATCAGACGGTCCTGGCTGGGGGCAGTCGTTTATATCTCAACGACTCGTGGAGTCAGTCTATATAGGTTAGTCAGGCAGAACGGGGAATTAGTTAGAGCCGGCGTTTAAATTCCACTTTCACCTGTGCTTCAAGTGTTACGCTTCATGATGTCGATGCTGCAGGCATTCTAGATTAAGCTGTGATATCAGAAGCGATATAACATAGACTATATTACGCCGCCTTCGACGCTGTTCTCTATTTCGATCTCTCTCCTCTCGTTCCTTCTGTCTCTCTCTCTCGCTCCCTCCCCGTTCCCTTTCTCCTCTCTCCGGTCCCTACCCACTCTCTCGGTCTATCGCTATCTAGCTCTCAATCGCGATGTCTCTCGCGCACAGAACAGAGATGCGTAAATTATCATTTGTATCGCCCGTATCGGCCTCTAGACAGCACGCGTACCATAAAAATAATATAGGTATCTATATATTTCTATGACGCATACGTACAAATCTGAACGTTAAGGTCGCGCTGCGGCCATTTCTATGCGGTTTCGGAATTATGCGCGCTGGCCGTATACGGCAACAATAGCCCGCGACAACATCAGTTGTGTAGAGGGGAGGGGGGCTGGGAGAGATCGTTGAGATGCAATGCCGCCTACTCCCAGCTCGGCAGAGTAAACAATCGCGAGGCAAGGTCTCGGCCGATTGAAGTATGTCACACGTGAAAGAAACGCGAGAGTGGAGAACTAGAGTGGAGCGGCTGCGAATAAATACCGTCGAGTGGAGGATTTATATATCACGCCATCGGGCCGGTTTGGAAACAACCATAGAAATAGAAAGAAACATTCCTTCTATAGTTTCACGCGTAAAACCCTAATCCCAACTAAAACCACATCTCAACTATAACCTTAGACCTGACAATTCGTCGCCACAACCTTAACTACAAGCATCTGAGGACCCATGATTAAAACAAAGAATCGATCACGAGTAACCACGTTTGCGACACACCCCCTCACTCGATGGTATTTCTCGGTAGCGACAACGAGGTGAAAAAAGTCCGTCTCGAAAAAACGAATCTTTCCGGGCGGAGGGAGGTTTGCCGCCCACCTGCACCACCTGTGTAGTAGATACAGTAGGAGGTATCGTATCGTACGGGTTAGGGTGTCGGGTTCTATCATCGCCGCATCCCGCGACAGCGTGAGTGTGATGATGCAACAATAAACCAGATATGACGATTAAACACATTCAGGAGGAAAAACTCGTGCAAACAACGCGTGGAACAATCGCACCCTCTGTTGGCGCGTTGCTGCGGATGGGAGCGGTGGATCGCAGGCAGGTGTGGTAGATGCAGAAGTGTAGATACCAAGAATTAAAGCATTATGAGATCCTGGTATCAATGCGTCAATATGTTGGAGTTTTAATCCGAATACAGTGCAGGAATCACGACTACATTATAGTCGGTTTACACACACATGCACGCACACGCGCGCATATGTGCACGCGGACGTACGCACACGCTCGCATACACGTGCATACGTACACGCTTGCATACACGTTCATACGTACACGCACACGCACACACACACACACACACACGCGCGCGCGCGCTCACACAAACTCAGGGTTGATAGCAAAATGTTGTCATTTTTGACAATTTTATATTTGCGTGTGAGCGCGTAGATTTATTCCAGGTACGCATGGCAACTCCAGGCCCGCGCCCAGCTCTCCCGCCCTATAGCTACCTTCTCGAGAGCAACCAGCTGATCATGGATGGAGCGCACGTTTTAACAGCAGCTGACCGCTAGGGGATGTTTGCGATCCAGGGAGTGTTCCCTGGCCGCAGCAGCCCGCGTCATGCTACAGAGCCCCCGAAACGCTTCGCTTGTAAAAATACACGTGAACTCCGACCAGAACCGTTGACATTCTTTTGTAGTTTGCTCAGGGCAGCTCACGCGAACTCCCTTCGCGCGTACAGGCGTCGTATTAGGCAGGCGTGATAGTTACGAACCAATACGATAGTTACTAAACCAGCCAGGGACGTCGTTAAACAAGGCTGCTACCTGCGACTACAAGCCCTTGGATTGCGTAACACGGAGTAGGAAAGTGCGCCCGACATACTTTTTTTCTCGCACACACCCTAGCGGTAGTGTAAGTCCTGGCGTGGCTATTCTAATAATAATGATAATGTTGCCGTTATATCTACGTATTTCTGGCTGCTTGACAATGGTTGTTGCTGCTGCTGCTACGGCAGTTCTCCGTGGGATGCTGTGGGATAAAGCTGATTCGATGTGCTCTCCGAGGTTTATGGGGTTACTGTTACTATGGCGACTATGAGTGCAATGTTGCGAGGTATTGTTTCTGCTACAGCTTTCCGTGGGATGCTGTGGGCTGAAGATGTTGCTATAGCAACTTTCCGTGGGATGCTGTGGGATGGAGATGTTGCTATAGCAACTTTCCGTGGGATGCTGTGGGATGGAGATTGTTTCTGCCACATTCATACGTACGTCGGTGTGGGCTATTGACTGGTGCTGACATTGCGAACGCATTATAACAACAGGCGTGAATCGACGCAGTCGTGCGCTTTACAGAATACACGTTTTATTCCACATCGAACGTTCGGGGTATGGGCAACCTTCGCGTGCACACGCCACCGTGGTCACGATAAACGATCGTTGTCGCACACAAACGCGGGTTCCAGTGCGTTAGCTAACAAGTGCCGCCAATCTCCAGCGCACGTCAACACAATAGCGAAGGATTACAGTTTTCTCGTAATAATAAAGCAAAACCGGCCAGAAACTGGATCCTGTTTCCGAGGCCGCCAAGTGCAGCGCGATGTGAGGGGAAAATAGTAACGTTTGCTGATCGCACTCTCTGGATGCTCGAGTGCTTCGCACGATAGCATCATAATATATATATATATATATATATATATATATATATATATATATTATTGTTTGTTGAATTGAATATGTATACATGATACGAAATTATAGCAAAGAATCTACGAGCGTTTTCTCAGTGAAATACAAACAATGTACAGGTCAAGGTGAAGGGGACAGCGCATGTACGCTAGTGTGCGTTAGATGCCAACAGTCCTGCCTCATACTAGCCGTCACCATCGTCGTCATTGCCACCGTTACCGTCACCATCACCGTCATACATAATGATATTAATCAACGTCATCATCATCATCATCATCATCGTCGTCATTGCCAGCGTTACCGTCACCATCACCGTCATCATCATACATAAGCAACGAACGACAACAGAACTTCCGGGCTCTTCGGCCGTGGAATACTAACAACTCGCACGTACATGCCTATAGCAAGGAGAGAGAAGCGCGTACGTGCTGCAGCGCAATGCTAACAAAAACAATTTACATATACGTGAGGACGACGACGAATTCAGCGCGCATGTGACGCAACACAACAAAAACAACTTTACAGCGCACTACGCGCCTATGAATCGGAGAATCAATGTGACAGCACGCGCAGACTGATGTAACCTCTGTATGACCTCGACGACGCTAGACATGTCACCGAGGAGGGTGCGATATATACATGGCAAGCATCATGCGGGGGGGGGGAGCATCGCGCAGCGGGGCGACGTGCCCAGCGACACACCGCGCCAGCGTGCGTTGTCACAGCACGCATCACGAATCACGACGACCCACCGCAAGTCCGTCATGTCACGAATTTTACGCGCAAAAGTTCTGTGAGATTTAAGTGTCACGATGTTTCTGACAATGAACCGCAGCCATTGTCGCTAGAGCAGCAAGTCGTCGCGAGTCGAATTCAACAAGCAAGCATCCTCGCGTGCCGCCGTAGTTCGGTCGATGCTCACCAGGGTCTTCTCTCGGCCGTGACGACTTTTGTCCCCCCGGCGGCGGCGGCGGCGGGCGCATCGCCGGCGCCGTCTGCCGTCGCTCCGCCCTCCTCCTTCTTCTTCTTCTCGCGCAGCGCGTTGAGAAAGTCGACCATGTCAGAGAGCTTCACATCGCCCTTCTCGATGGCCGTGCGCTGCGACTGCTCCGCCTGGCCCGGTGGCGCCCTCGCGGCCGCGCTCGCCACCGCGCGGGCTGGCGACGACGCGTGATCGGTGTCCCACCGTGACGGCCCAGTACGCAGCCACTTGGTGGGGACGGTTGGCGTAGACATCAGGGGCGGAGGCCGATGCGACGGCTGCTGCTGACCCCGCCTGCTGACCCCGCGACCTCGCGTGAAGGTCGCGCCGCCGCGTCCCCTGGACCCGCGTTTCCCGGACCCGCGACCCCCGGACCCGCGACCCCCGGACCCACGACCCCCGGACCCGCGACCCTGTCCGACGGTCGGCCCGCCGCGGCCGGAGTCCCGAAGGTGCATCTTCGCTGTGCCGCGCTGCCAGCAGATGGCGCCACTGTCGAATCTGCTCACGCGAGGTTTGCGCTCCTTGCTACGTGAGCACCCTCTGTCGTCGTCGTTGCTTGAGCTGTCGCTTCGCTGGTTTCTGCCTCGCCTGTGCTCTGCGCTGTCCATGCTTCTACTCCTGCTCCTGCTTCTGCTGCGTTTACTAGCACCTTTGCTTCTGCTGCGTTTTCTGGCGTCTTTGATTCCACTCCTGCTGCGTTGTCTAGTGTTTTTGGTTATACTCCCGCTAGGTTTTCTGGTGTCTTTGCTCCTACTTCTGCTGCGTTGTCTAGCGTTTTTGGTTATACTCCCGCTAGGTTTTCCGGTGTCTTTGCTCCTGCTTCTGCTGCGTTGTCTAGCGTTTTTGGTTGTTTTTGGTTATACTCCCGCTAGGTTTTCCGGTGTCTTTGCTCCTGCTTCTGCTGCGTTGTCTAGCGTTTTTGGTTATACTCCCGCTAGGTTTTCTGGTGTCTTTGCTCCTACTTCTGCTGCGTTGTCTAGTGTTTTTGGTCACAGTCCCGCAAGGTTTTCTGGCTTCTTTGTTTCTACTTCTGCTGCGTTTTCTAGTGTCTTTGCTTCTACTTCTGCTGTGCTCCCTACTGTCGTTACTCCTACTTCTGCTATACTTCCTGCCCTTTTTTCCCCTACTGCTGCTGTTCTTACTACTGTCCGCACTCCTACCTCTATCGTGCCCTCTTTTCGCACCGGTCTCGGAAACCTTGCTCGGAAAGTTCTTATTTTTTGTCTCACTCGACTGCTTATGTCCTCTCTTTTCGTAACTCCTGCTTCTACTGAGACTGCGGTCGCTGCTGCTGTAGTCGCTACTACTTCTACTGCCAACACTATCACTCTTCCACCTCCTGCCTCCGCCGCGCTGATCCGAGCTGATGTTGGCTCCGTGCCTCATCGCGTTGCCACGACGACCGCGCTGCGCGTCGGGGGACCGCGCCTCATCGTTGCCGTGGCGACCGCGTCGCTCCTCCTTCACACCACGCTTCCCGTCCTCCCGCCTCCGCGTCTCCCCACCGTGACCACCGTGACCACCGTGACGCATCGCCTCGCTCCGCGACCTCTCCTCCGCCTCCTCCTCCGATGACGACGGACCGTTGCGCGTCCCTCGCCGGCGCACCCTGGCGGCGTCCACCTCATGGACGTAGCCGTCTCCCGCAGACTCCTTTACGCTGTGCCACCCTCCCTCCTCATCCTTCTCCTCCCTCTCGTCATTGCCGCTGCGATGCACCGTCTTCACGACCTCTCTCAGCTCCCGCCATCCCGGCCGCCTATCCGTCGCTTCCTCCGCCGCCGCCGCCGCCGCCGCCGCCGCCGCCGCCGCCGCCGCCGCCGCGTCATCCTTGTTAAAGTTTACAGTGATGCGCAGCTTGTCGAGGTCGCCGCGAGTTGCCGTCGCCACGGCGACCTCCTTGCGCGCCCTTCTCTCCGTCTCCTGCGCGGCGGCGGCTTCGTTCCGCAGGACGAGTGCCCGCGGCAGCGCAACCAGCTTCCCCATCCTGCGCTCCACCTCCTCCGGGTGTCCCCGCGCTGCGTCCTCGCCCCCATATGCTCGCTCCTTCTGCAGGAAGCTGCGGCCGCCGTCGCCGTCGTCGGCGGCGGCAACGGAGGAACGCGCCGCGGCGGCGAAGCCTTGCAGCCTCTCCTGGATGTTGCCGTAGGACGTTGCCGCCGCCGCCGCCGGGAGAACCTTCGGACGCGTGATCGGGATCATGTTCGTCTGCTTGTCGGTGTAGGTGGTGCCGACTTTGACATCGCCTATCGCGCGCCACTTGCTAAGCGGTGCCGGCTTCGTCTCGCCAGGTGGCGCCGGCTTCGTCTCCACCACCACAGTCACGCCCCCGCCCTCCTTCCCCGCGGGTTTGTCGGGCGGAGACCGGTGCCCCGTATCAAACAAGGGCGACTCCACCCTGCGTCCATCAGGACCCACCGGGGCGTCAGGCAGCTCTGTGGCGCCGACTGGCCGTGCGGTGGTGCGTTCGGTGTGTCGCGTCCCATCATCGTGGCGATGCGGCGCGCGACCGTCCTCGTCGTCGTGGCGACGCGGCGCGCGACCGTCCTCGTCGTCGTGGCGATGCGGCACGCGACCGTCCTCGTCATCGTGGCGATGCGGCGCGCGACCGTCCTCGTCGTCGTGGCGACGAGCCGCGCGACCGTCCTCGTCGTCGTGGCGACGAGCCGCGTGACCGTCTTCGTCGTTGTGACGATGTGCCGCGCGACCGTCCCTGCCGTCACTCAACCTTTGGCGCTGGTGCTCCCTTGGCCCGCCCCTGCCACTGGGTGACAAGGACTCGTGCTGCTGCGACGCCCTGACCTCTGGTGGCGATCCCTTGTGCCCGTCCGACCTCGCCCTGACCTTGACCCGACCTTCCTTATCGTGCCGGCTCACGCTGCTGCGACGGCGATCGGGTGACGGGGACCGCAACCCGCTGGCAACCCGCCTCGCTTGCCACCGTTTACGGCGCCCCCTAATGGAGCCGCTGGACGAGGACGATGACGACGGCGACCGACGCCCCCTGGTGTCCGCGGGACTGGTGCCGCTGCTGGACGACGAGCCGGAACTAGAGCTGCTGCTGCTGCTGCTGCTGCGGTCTGACAGCGCCCCCTTGTGGCGTCGGGCTCTGTCGTGGTGGGCGTCGCGCGGCGGGCGTGATTTGCGCGGCCGTTCCGACGTCCTTGAAATGAAAACGAGTTAAGATTTTATAACCTTCAATAACCTACAATCTCTCTACCTATAATAATAATAATAGTGCCTTGTTTCAAGCACCGCAACTCATCCCTAACCCTCGATCGCCCATCTGTCAACCACAACTGCCCTTGCTGCCGCTGTAGCAACAGTTACCTGTGTTTAGCTTTACCGCCCCTGTCCCCGTGTAACAGATCCACGCACGCAGCAACAGTTACCTGTGTTTAGCTTTACCGCCCCTGTCCCCGTGTAACAGATCCACGCATGCAGCAACAGTTACCTGTGTTTAGCTTTACCGCCCCTGTCCCCGTGTAACAGATCCACGCATGCAGCAACAGTTACCTGTGTTTAGCTTTACCGCCCCTGTCCCCGTGTAACAGATCCAGCAGCATCTGCTTCGACTTCTCCGTGCTCGACCGCTCGGCGCCGCCGCGATGGCGCCCCCTATCCCGGCCGCCGCCTCGTTCTGCCGCATCCCTGCCCTGTGCAGAAAGTTGCTGCTGCAATCATCCCCCGTCGACGCGAGCGTTGTCCGTGCGGCGCGAGAGCCGATGGTAACGCATGGCGGTGCGGACGTGCAGACACAAGTGGGGACAGGGCAAGGTGTCATGGCCGGGGTCAGGCATCGCAGTGCGCGAGGATCGGCCGTAGAGTACGAGGAAAGTACGCCAAGGGCCATATCGAAGACAAATCATTACAGAAAGCCGCGGGAGATTTTAAAATTTAGCATCGTAGTATAGTTTTCATGAATAACGGGAGAATTGATGTACGTGTGAGTTTTCGCGAGCCAGGGGCAGAGGGGGGAGATTTCGCCACGCGATTTGCATCGAACATCATAGAACAACGAGAGTTTTAGATGTCAAATCGACAAATGGAGAGTAAAATATCATCGCCGCGCACCGGCAGAGAAGATCGCGTGAGAAGGACAGAAGCGAGGCGAGGCAAAACGTTTCCGCATGTTCAAGTTCATTCGTTTATCGCGGTCGTTTCGTCGTGTGACGAGGCGTGACACCGAAAAAAAGAGCATTGGGTTTGAAATCGATTCGATAACCAGTTTATCCATGACAATTTTACCCGTGGTAGCACGGATTGTAAAACAAGAATAGGGTCGTTTGAGGGGCGATTGTCCACATGTCGAAATTTAAACAGACAGCAACAAAAGAGTTGCCGGCAAAAACGATGCAAGCAGCGACGGATGAACACCATGAATGCACCACAGCCGTTCAACAGCCGCGACGTGATATGAACACCAATAGCCAATCGCATGATTATCCGTACGTTTGTGTTGTTCGTTGTCCATCCATGAGGGTGGCATGAAAGGCAAAACAGAGAGGGAACATTCATTAGCAAAGCCTGGCAAGAAAGGACTATAGCACATTCAGTCAAGCACGAGGCATTTCATATATTCCTGCGTTGCTACAAAGCCATAATCCGTCAATACCTGGCTCAGGTATTAAGACGTTGCACAAGTTGTACAGCCGATTTTATTGTGAAAAACAACGCTAAACATGAGGTGAACCCACTCAAAGATCTAGTTATAGCTAAACAAAGACATGAATTGTTAACCCAACTATCCTTACAGTTTACTCTTACTCCTAGGACGAATAGCAAACAATGCAAACTAGGACAGGCTACAACATTTGCTCGTATGCACACACAGACAAGCATGCACGCACGCACGTACTCACTCATGCACGCTCGCACGCACGCACGCGCATGCACGCACGCACACCCTCACGCATAGGCTTGCACACGCACGCACGCACACCCTCACGCACGCACGCACACAAGCACACACACGCACGCACGCACGCACGCGCATGCACGCACACACACCCTCACGCGCAGGGATGCACACACACGCACGCATGCACGCACGTACACCCTCACGCACGCACGCACACAAGCACACACACCCTCACATGCAGGCTTGCACACACACGTACATAGATGCACGCACACACGCACGCACACACAAACGTGTGATCTGGAAACAGATACCCCAGACCTTAAACCTCTAACCGACAAGCAACGACTAGTGCCCACCTGCTGAGTCCTGATGTAATCCCACAGGTCAGCGAGTCCCTGCTTTGCTGCCTCGCATGCTGGATCGAGCTCCACCGCCCGCGTGAAGTATTTCACCGCACCGCCCTTGTCCATGTCTTCCAGGCAACTGTCAGGACAAGAAACCGCATTACCCGGTGCGTCGGTACCGCTTAACTCGGTTGCAACCGTGTGGGGACAAAGTCACCCGGGTATGTATCCGGTACCGCTTGACCCGTGATAACTTTTAATTAAACTTTTAACTAAATTATTAACCCAACAACGTTTAATAACCCTAATAATCCCTATAACATGGCACGCCGCCACGCAAACGGGGCCGTATAGTAGACAAGAAATCTGGCGTGGACCCACGAGCCGCGCCCCCTAGTGGACACGCATTCCTGCAGCCAGCGCACGCCCCTACCTCTGTCCCGCGGCGCAGGCCGTCTCGACGAGGTAGCTGCGCGCGTTGCGGTGCTCCGGATTCAGCCGCAGCGCGTGTTCAAAGTCCTCGTAGGCTTTCTGCAGGCCTCCCTGGTTGGCGTTCCTAACGCGACAGGGCGAGCGAGACGTAAAATCGTTACCAGCTGTCAGCATCAGCCGTTGTACGCACAACAGATATTATGTTTTATCGGCCGAGGCCGACGGGAGAGCATTGCTCTGAACGTATACGACACGCTTCTAAATTTCAAATCGACACGTGAAACTTGAAGTTAAATGACGTTGAATGCCTACTAATCTCGTGGGTGCGTAATCCAAGCAATCGCCTCAGAGCTCCCCTAAACTAGCCTATCTTAGGCTAAACATAAGTATACTCTGAGAAATCTAGTACAATTCTATACATATTCTAAATGCTACCTTCATATATATACTACATCTGCAGTTTAGTTTTAAACTTGAGTAGAAACTGAGAAGTCTTGTCTAACTCGTATATCACACGCATGCTCTGCATATCTAACATAGGTGAAATCTAATGTAGTCTGACAGGTGGCGCCACCTATGCGACACACTTACAGGGCACCACGAGCGACGAGAGCGTCGATGTTTTCTGCGTCGAACGACAGTGCCTTGTCGAGATGTGCCATCGCCTCCTCGGCCCTGCCCGCCTTGAACTCACGCACGCCAGTCGACACGCTGAAACAGATGAGCATGCACCGGCCGTTAGTCGTTGCCACAGGTGGCGCTAGTGGATGACACCTCATACACGTATGCAGGCTCGTACACCCGTGTTTGATTATAGAAGCCCTTTTCTCCAGTCACTGTGCTGCAGTTTTCCTCCGAGCCACAGAGAGAGACTAAGGACAAGGCTGTGGAACAGGGTGAGAAAAGTGAGGGAGAGAGTTAGGGAGAGACTAGAAAAAGCAAGGGTAAGAAAGATTGTGAGAAAGACAAGGGAGAGGGTTAGCGAGAGATAGAGAGAGACACTGGAAGAAAGGGTTCAAGAGAGAGAGAGAGAGAAGAAAGGAGAGATGAAAGGTGGGAGTTAGGAAGAGAGTGAGCGAGAGAGAGAGAGAGAGAGAGAGAGAGAGAGAGAGA